GATGAGATAGTTTTTAGATTTTAAAAGGCATTTAGGATAATTATTTGTAGTTTCTCTTACTTTCAATTAAGTATTTATATATCTTTTATTATATTAGCGTGAATAGTTATTGGAAATTGGGTAAATATTTTTCTTTTTATTTTTTTGGTCTTGTCTGGCTTAAGGTCTTGAATTATATTTAATTATTTTTATATTTATTTGGCCCTTTTCTATCAGAAATAAATATAAATTGATTTTTTTTATGGATTGTTACCTCTAACTCTTAAAAGGAAAAGTCTTATGGATCAAATGTTATGTGCACTTCTTTTTCAGAGTCTCTTGACAAGACATCTGAATTTTCTGTTCTCTGCAGTAGTTTTAATCCCCGATATTAAACGTTCATCATACTTGCTTCATAACAAATGCATAATTCCCAATGTAAATGAGTATACAAATACTCTAAGCAATAAATCAAATATCAAATATCATTGAACAATAAGAGTTGAATGAAATATCATTTAATGGCCTAAAGAAATGAAATTTGGCGGCTCATTACGAATTTAATTGTTTCGAGACAGATCTCATGTTGAAAGTTATTTGATTAATGGTCCTTTTTTTATTCATAACCACAATAATGCACCTTTCGACTTTCATTGCTAACTATTGTTGATCTTTGATATTTATACCTTTGACTCAGTTTCATCACCCACATTTGAGATAATTCATGAGCCAGTTTCAAATATTCATTTATTCCATTTATCATTATGCAACGGTGGCCCGCATTGTGCGCTTGCAAAACCCGATTATGCCTAAATGATATTTATTACCAGCGTTTAGTCATGCTCCCAAATATCCCCAATATCTAATAATATATATATATGTATAAAGTCTCCATATCAATGAGTAAAGTGCAATTTAAGCCAGCCCGCATGCTGCAAAAGCCACGATCTAAAAATGTTATAAAACAAAATACCAGCAGCTGACTAAAGCTGACTTATAAGGCCATGTCTGGCCGAATGCCCTCATGATAGATAGAAATAAATGATTTCAATTAGGGCGTTTAAAAAATGATTATGGCATACTTATTATCGTGTTACAATTTGAGCGAATCGTTAAATATGCCGGCACCGAATTATTTTTTATATTTATTTTCTGTTGATAATGCTTTTGTAGTTGTGTAATAAAAGACAATGCTCATAACGGTTTGCTATGGTGTTGGACTCGATGCCAGATAAAAGATTGCCCCCGTCTGCTGGTGGACCACACCGGGCAGCCTCCCAGGCGCCCCCGCCTTGCACACTTTGCTCTGGCCACATTAAATTAAATCTAAGCTTGACCCAAAAACTGCAATAGTACTTAAACGGTTTTTGGCTGCACAAAATTTCGCAAAAATATTTTTCGGTTTTTTTCTCTCTCTATAGTTTTTCTTTTTTACTTGGTTTCTTTGACTAAGCACTTAATTTGCAGCTGAGTTAGCTGAGAAACTGTGGTAAGCGCAAACGGAATGCCGGCCAAGCCGTTTGATAATAAATGATTATTTTCGTGCTAAACTGCGTTAATCAAAGATAATGATAATGCCGCGTAATGCGCGCACTGCGGCTACGTGTACTCGCAGCATTTGTTATTGATTGTTTTTAATTAGTGGGCTATTGTCGGCTCTTGTGGTTAGAATTGAACCCGCCCCCAGCTGCCTTAATCGCCGGATCTGCTCAGCGCCTTCCTGCTCATTACGCCAAAGAGACGCCGAAGGAGGCGGCATCGGAGACGCAGGCCCGATATCAAAGAAGGAGTGCCGTCCAATTAATGCGACCCAGAGGTGCTCCACCTTTTCACATGTGCACGAAATCGCAGTTCATTCAACCGGGCCGGTACTTAAAAATATCTACCATACATTGCGGCGTAATTCTGGAACTTTGAGTATGCCGCCAAATCACGCACAGCTCCCAGCCGTTAATCCCATAAGTCCGAACCGAGCCCATTGTGTGCGCTCGCACTTTAATTAACAAGATAAATGCGAAAGCCGTGAGAGTTGGCAAAGAAAACTATGCGAAGGTTCAGATAAGTCTAAACACTGGAAAAAATTTATTCAAATTGAAGAACAGCTCCGCAAAAAATATATTCAGAAATTACCTGTATAAAACTACAAAGACAGCAAAATATTTAATGAACACAAGAGCTCAGGCTTTCGCAGAGTCAGACAAAGAGAGAGAGAGAGAGAGAGAGAGAGAGATAGAGAGAGAAAGAGGGTAAGACAGAGGGAGACACACTTTTATTTCCAATTCCTCTTTGCATCCTATCCTTAAACGTTATTGGCAGCACATTATCGCAGCAGCACTTTGAAATGCAAATGGAAATACATTTGAAATTGGTATTATTATTTTTGTTGAGTGTACTTATCTTTGACGCTAAGTGAATTTCAAGTTCAAGGCCATTGTCATTATGTCTCGGAAGTGACAAAAGCCTAGACAAGCCAAAGCTCTGATCACCATTGAGTGGCCCCATTGTTATGCAACATTTTTGATGCCGTCATGCTACTTAACAACAAGTCTTGACAAACCTGAGCCGCCCAGCGCTGGCAACTGCGCCATTCAATTACCTCATCGAGGGGGTCTTCGACTGTTTGCTTTGATCTCATTATTGAATTATAGGATCGACTGTATTATTTGAATGCACGAATTTGATATGCAGCTGAAATAATTAAAGTGCCTGCCTGACTGATATGATCTTTATTTTTTTCAGGCGTTTTTTTACAACTTAGTCTGAATTACAACATCACCAAACACAGCTTCCAAATAAACTGAACTTTATCTAAGATTTCCCAATTTAATGGAGCCCCTCGCCGCTCATTAAATCAGTAGGTAATGAACCGAGCCATAAAAAAAGAGACTCCAAGACAGACATTACTTGCATATCTTGCGCTGCGAATTTGGCTAATCGATCACAGTACCTGAATACACAAATTCCTGTTTACTATGCACAACACAATGTCGACATGCCTGAAATTGCAATTGTTAATTGTTATTATTTTTTTTATTGTTACCTTGTGCATTCAGCAAAATAATATAAATATTGCAAGCAACAAAAAAAAACACATAACATATGTAGATATACCCTAACCGATTATTTGCTAATTAACTGATTTATAGGATCAGTAAAAAGCGGTTTCTTGGCCAAGCCAACATGAAAAGAATCGATTTGCAATATTGAAATGCAACGGTTACACGACTTGCCAGACTTGCCAACTTTATTTATTGTGACTTACAGTCATAAATATATATACGAGCACAGCATACATATGTTAAAATATGCATGGCAATTGTTCAAGTAGACATATTCAATTTGCAAGCAGCAAAACCCAATTCTCATCTTCGCGACGAAGCGAGCAACAAAAACAGCAAAATAAAAAAAAGAGGAGCAGTCACTCACCCACTCACACACACATACGCACACAGATACACGCACATGTGCACATGCACATGCACATGCGCATGCACATGCACATGCATATGCACATGCAGAGCAAACGATACCGCGATGCATGGGCATATGCTGCAGGTGGCATCGATAAATCACTTTGGTATCGATATCTTTTTGTGCATATTGTCAAAAGCGCCGCCGATTGACAAATTGGCAACAGGCAAATTTGGCCAAGGAGAGCGTCGTCGTTGTTGTCTGAGTTGGCCACGTTAAGACCGAGAAAATCATAATGTAAAGTCTGCGACCCGTTTCCATGCGACACCTTTTGCTGAATCCTCTTTGATTAAGGTTTAGCACCTTTAAGCTCATTGTGCTTGCTTTTTATGCACTTGTAATGAGTATTTAACTTTTATCAGGAAATGTGTAACGCTTAGTTGATGTATATATATTCTCGATGTAAATGTAGAAATAGGCATAAATGGTCTCATATGCATTGGCTTGTTATAGCATATAGTTCTATGTTAAGAATCAAGCTAAAAATCCAATTTATTCCTAACATATCAAAAAACTGTATCTAACAGCACTTCTAGCCATATAAGTGTATATATTCTTTGGCGTGCCGAAGTTAGCCATTCCGTATATTTTTTTATTCTTGTTTTTGCAGCATTTTTGCTGCGTTTGAAAGCTCATTTCCATGTTTAATGGGTCGTAATTGATCATTAGCCGCAAAAACACTTGAAAACCGGTGACAATGTTCATAATGCATAAATAAATACTAAATGGTCACAAGCTTAGCTCGCATATTTTATATACATAGTAATAAAATGAATTCATAAAAATAAAAAAAATGTTGGACAATGAAAAGACTCGCGCCTCTAGAAGGCATGAATGCAACCCAATTAATCAACATAAATCAATTATCTAACAAACCAATTCAATTAATAAAGCAAACACCGACCATATATGGGCAGAAATATTTATCAACACAAATAAATCATAGACCAAATTGGAGACAATGACTTTGAACTTTTCAACATATAAATTTCTACAAAATATGCCTAAAATTGTGTTAGTATGTTGAGAAATTTTCACATAACAACAACAATAGTAACAACAAACAAACAATGACACAAAGCTTACAACAATTTGTGCCGGCTATTAATAAGTATTTTTTTGTTTTTGTTATTTTTTTACACTTGACATTGTTGCAAGACGCGTAATTATAAAATGATTATCGGGTTCAAGAGCAAAAATATGTTGGTTAATTTGATATTTGGTGGCATCTAACTATATAAAGCGCATTTAATTGGCAGCAGAGCGTTAAATACGAATTCGATTACGAATTGGATTTTGCAATGTTAAATAATGTTGCAATTGCATAAACTTTAAGGCAAAGTGAGTCAGTCTCTATGAGACTGTGGCAGCCAGGCAGCAGCATCAAGTAAATTTGTACACAACTTGTTCTACATACGTGTTATTGGGGGCGATTGCTTTTCAAGGCAATGCCTAATCGAAGCAATCACTGCAATCCATTACGATTGACAAATTGTTGCCACATCCATTCACTTTATGCCTCCAACTATTTCTCTTTCTATTTCTTGCAGCCCTCCCTTTGCCTGCTGCTAGTCATCTGCCTCGCTGCGTACTGCCAAGCGATACGCGTGGATTGGGGCACCAATACGGGCCCAATTGTGCCGCCGCCGCCACGAACGACGCCCACGCCCCCACAGCAGCCATACCGCGAGCCGGCACCTGTTTGGGAGGATCAAAGCAACGATGTGCCCAACCCCAAGCCCTATGTGTATGTGCCAGCTGGAGTTTTCGAGTCATGTTTAATTTCACCTTTAAATGGTTTTTCTCTAGTTATGTGCTGCCGCCTCCGTCTCGCCCGCGCACTTGGATCATACCCGCTGGCCCCTATGCGCCGGCCAACTACAACAATCTGCCGCCCAAGTACAACTATGGCCAACAGCTGGTGAATCCGCAATACAGTAATGCAGGAGCCACGGGCACTGTGAGCGTGCCCGCGCTGGCGGCCCAGTATGTGCCCGGCGTGGGCATCAAATACACCGCCATTGTGCCCAGCAAGCTGCAGGGCAAATACAATGCGAAGACCAAGAAATACAAGGCCTACGAGAAGGCAAAATATGCGCCATGGAACTATGTAAGACAATATGATAATCGCAAGCGTTATCTGCGCTACTGATACTGCCTACCTATAAGGAGACGTCTGTCGCTTTGTAAATTGCGTGTACAACAACAAATTAAAGCCAAAAACAACAAAACAACATACAACAAAAACAAATACTGCAAACTGCAACAACAACAACAACAACTAAACGCTTTTGACACTTTTATAAATGCTTTTGCACAATCGCCTGTACTGTGTACACCCACACCCATGCATAAAGACAGACGGAGAGAGACACACACATACACACACACTCACACACACGGATAGACAGACAACAACCCACCACCCACCCAACAGTCGCCACCACTACTCGCCACTCGCCAACAGTCGCAATCGCAATCGCATTTGCTTTCATGCTCATGTACCATGTCCCCACGTTCATGTCCATGTCCATGTCATAATCACATGCATCATCTCTTTGCAGTTGCAGCTGCTGCCGGTGGAGGAGAAGGCGCTGGACTGGCAAGCGCCAGAGCAGGAGGCGCACACCGAGTTGCCGCTAGACACACTAAGCTCCTCCACGACGGCAGCGCCCAGCGGCAGCAGCAGCGGCAGCCCAGCAGAGCTGACTGCATTTAATTCAACAACAACAACAACAACAACGACCACAACGCAACAGCCCACAACAACGACAACGACAACAACAGCAGCAGCAGCAGCAGCTACAACGGCTGCAACATTTGCCAATTACAAGCTGGCACATGAGAAGAGCGCCTATCTGAAGAAGCACAACAAGCTGAAGAAGCTGCTCGAAAAGCTGCAGGCACCCAGCAACGAGACGCAACCGACGGCGACCTCAAGTTGAGCGTTGCACAGCGAAAATAAATGGAAAAATCAACATAAAATCAACGCAAAACAAACGTGAATTTTACGTTAAGACTTGCCCCAAAATTTTTGTAAATACGTAAAAATAAATCGAATAAACATTTAAAAAAAATATTAATAATAATAATAGCACAGACGAGCACGCCATGTGCGATTTTTGCTAGGCTTCTTGCATTTGGCCAAAAATAAACGGCTGGGCGCTTACATAAAAACAAAAGACTCAGGCAACAAACTTGAAACCTGCGTGCGTGCGTGCGCTGCAACGGCGTCAAATTGTGCCTTAATTGCACGCTGCATGGCAAAAGGGTAAACACTCATTTACACACACGCACACACACAGATTGGCAAGGTGAGCTGTTAGCCGTGTTATGTTAAGTGAAACCATGATTGGTACTTTCTTGAACGGCTTTTCATAGCTGGAGGCAAACACAATTAGCCCGCTCAATTAGTCAATGAGTATCAACGGCTTCTGGGGGTCCATCATTTAAATGCCGGTCGGCCAGTTGATCACAGAGCGCGGCTCGCTGCCCGACTGGCGACCCTGACCGCAGCTGCCGCTGCCGCTGCTGCAAGACATCATTAGCAGCCGCAACAACAACAATAGGCTAAGCAACTGCCGCTTATAACTGTGATTTTTTTCGAGAGTGTGTGTGCTTGTGTGTGTGTGTGTTTTGGCCGCTAGAGTCATTAACCGGCGCTAATTTCCGTCGCATTGTCAACGAGTTTTGTTTTAACTTATTTAATTTTTGTTTTTGCTTAGTTTTAATTGCGCGCGCTTCGCGCCGTCCAACAACAAATGGCAGCAACAACTATATATAGCATATGCCTTTGTCTGCACCCATTAATAATAATTAAGGGTACAAATTTCAGACAACATTTTGCTTGTATTACACAAAACTCTTTAATTAAATTCAATTTAGCTAAAAATTGACATCAATTTAACTTGTTGCTGTTGCTGTTGCTGTTGCTCGTTGTCTTTGCATTGTGTATCGCATGTGGGATTAAATTTTTCATGTTAAGCATATGGGGTGTTCCCGCCAAGTATTCTACATTACCAAAGCTTAATATTTAATTACTATTATTTCACATTTTTATTTGATTTTAAATAGGCTTAAGGCCAATTCTTGTTGCTTTCTGTAAGTACATTCTTACTTAGCATATTTTATGCTAAATTCATGAAATTTTTCAAAGCTTCCTGCTAAAAATACCTTAGCTGAGCATTAATCATTGACTTCTTTACAGGTTGAGAGTTTATTCACTTTATGTATAATATAAAAATTCAAATGTTTGCGATTAAATTATTCGGCTTAGAATAATGTGTAAACAAAATTAAATATTTGGCAACTTAAAATGGGAGCACAGTATAAATATTTCAGCCCCATATATCAATATTATTTTGACATTTTTGAAATAAATAAAACAGACAGGTACACGGTGTTAATTTACCAAAATTTATCTCGTATCTGAACAAATTTGCAAGTTGTTTTTTGTTATTGTCAATGTACAATGTTCAAAAAATGTCATTGTTGTCCATCTGAAGTCCATTAAGTGATGTTAATTTACGGCAATTGGCGTGAAGACAAATTAAAATTTCACTGATTACGCTTATTGATTGTGAGTGTGAGAAACAAACGTCGATAATGCTGAACAGGCCGAGGACACTTATTAAATCACAAAAGCAACCGACTGTGCCAGGGGCAGAGCTCGAGGCCCGGAGCTTCCGTTTGGAGTGCAACGCCAGATGCACCCGACTGTGCATTGAGCAACGGCAGCGCGATAGCCTTGGGCACCTCTCACCTCTCATAGTGAACGCTCCAGGTGAGTGACTGTGGCTGCCATAGACATCATTCCCCTGACGTTGCTCACGATGCAAAATGGCTGGGAAAATCCGAAATGTGGCAACGGTGGGTGTCGCGTAGTCGATTTGATTAGGTTGGAATATAGTAATAATATTATGAAAATATAGCAGAATTCAAAGATATATTCTCTTAATGAAGAGAAGTAATAAATAAGACAAGCAGAAAAAAAATAGTTAAAGTATAACGTTCACAAACAACATATATTACCGAAAGGCCTTTTGAAAAGAAATAAATAATGAATGAATTAAATAATCGAATGTTCAAAACGTTAAATATTGCATACTAAGTGAATAATAAATTAATATGAGTAGAAAATTAGAAAAAAAATGCTTATGAAACAGAAGTGAGTAAACGAGTTTCAGTAGAGCTTTAAATTAAGAATGAATGAAAAGAAATATGAGCATTTGAATAATGCCTCTAGATAACTAAATTAACAATCGAAAGCAAAGGTAAAAAGGCAGAATACTTAATACAAACATATAAATAAGTAAAAGCAAAATATTGAATACTCATAGTAGAAAAGTGCAGATACAAATGATTGGACACACATCTAAATACCATAACGTATAGAAAACGTATATCTCGTTTAACCTCTCACCTTTAAGTCACCTAAGTTTCGTCATG